ATCTTTTGGGGCCGGAAATATATTTGTTGGGCCTTTTGGGCTTCTTTTTAAAAAGTAATTTTATCATACTAGTATTCCTCTTTGGTTTTTTGTTACAGGACATTTCAAATTGATTGTTATAGTTGAATTGTATTTTGTTAAGTTGTTTATACTTTATATTATGTATAAGATTGTGGTTGTATATTACAAAAGACTAATGAGTTTAGAGTAAGAAGATACAAAAATAGATAACTCCAATACATCGGGTTGTTAATATAGTTAACGGTTGAGTCCCCTTAAAACAGTCTAGTCATTTGTTCAGAATATTCAAATGGAAATATCACCAACAGGTTTCAGGCACGAAGTATTTATCTAGGCTCAACAAATCGTAAATCCATGAGTTTGACTCACCAACACATGCACAGTCAATCAATCAACAAAGAAGACTCTCAATCGCTTACCAAACCAAGTGCTTCACTCATAAATGGTCAATCGATTCACATAAAAAAGAAGATTGAATGTGAGAGATGGGTGTTACTCACTAGGCCAAAACACAGTTCTAGCGACGTTTAAATTTGCGACTAAATACGAATCGTCGCCTATTTGCGACGATTTCTACTGCATTAGTCGCAACAGTTTAAATCCCGCTTTTGACTCAAAACCTTTGCGACGCAACTACAATATCGTCGCCAAATGGCGACGAATGTTCCCAGAAACGTCGCAACGGTAAAACAAAATTATTTTCACATATTTTTTAGACAAAAAACGACAAACGTCGCACAAAGTAATTTTTTTTTTTTTAAATTACATTATAGCGACGAAATCAGAGGAATCGTCGCAAGGAGTTTAAATTACTTTTTTCCCCTGCTCTATTTGCGGCGATTTCACAAAATGTCGCATTTAGAATAAATTATTTTTCCTTTTAATGTTTTTGTAATTAATATTGCGACGAATGTTTATCGGAAACGTCGCAAGAGTTTTCACTTTCCCAAATTCTTGAGCCCAGGTTGCTACGAATACAGAAACGTCGGAACCGATTTAATTTTCTATTATTTTTTGGCGACGATTCATTTAAAAACGACGTAAAATTAATTTAAGATTTTATTTTTATTTAATTTTCGCGTCGATTATGTTCATTTCGTCGCATAAGAGAATGGATAAAGACCTAATTCGTTTCAACCCCAACTCTCCCTTCTCTCTCTCTCTCTCTCTCTCTCTCTCTATACTGTTGAAGCTCCGCCATCGCCGTCGCCGTTGGCGTCATCGTTCTGCCGGCGCCATTCCACCATCACCACCACCTCTGCTCCCTCTCTCTCTCGTCTCTCTCTCTCTCTCTCTCTCTCTCTCTCTCTCTCTCTCTCTCTCTCTCTCTCTCTCTCTCTCTCTCTCTCTCTCTCTCGTGT